TATACGTCTTAATAATACTACCAATTTTCTTAATTATCGGACTTTATTTGACCCTAGCCCCCATACAAAGTCCCCTTCAGAAAATGACTTGAAGGTCAATAATTCACTAATAAACACTAGTATCACAGTGAAATCTAGCATACATAACTCTAATATAAACGTAAAGCCATGTATCAAAATTTATAAGGATAGGCCCATATTTACCCTTGCCCCCATATAACCTCTCTTTTAGAAAACCACTTTTTTCAACAAATTGTTAAAATATTTCGGAATTAAGGTAAACAACTTAAATGCTTTGTTATTAAATATAATCCAAATTTTTAACATACTCAGTGGTGTAGGGTATCATATGGTCGGCCATGCCCGACTATTCTTTCCTACTTGTTTTTATATACGACATTTATATGTATGTATTTCTTTACAGACAACTTATTTTCACAAATTAAAAGGAGCATCAGAGGATTTAAGATTCTGCGAGGTATGTAAAATGGTGGAATGATTGTTAATTTATGTATATGCTCACTATATTGATAAAATTACAAAAAATTTACCTTAAAATATTTTTAAATTGTGTTTTATTATAAATTGGTATAGCCGTCAGATTTTACGGATATATCCATCATGTATGATTACTCAACAATGACCGATAAATACATCATTTTTTATTTGTTAACTGTGATGGATACATCCATCAAGCATCAGTCAATTGTGACTAATATTTATATCATCCTTGGTTAGTAATAAACAACGAAAGAGTGAGGAGCTCATATATGTTTTAAAATCGATATAATTCATAAGTCCAAGGGAGAAGAAAAATCACATGTACACAAATGTTTCCATCAGTTCTGTCCATTTGCCTTAAGAAACTGATAGAAACTTTGTTCTACGCTATGATAGAAATAATACGTCAGTAGTGCCAGTCAAATGACTGTTCTTGTAGGATAGTGCCAGTCAAATGACTGTCACTGTTCTTGTAGGGAGATAGCCTATGTCGTAAAGTATTGTATGTGTTTGGACCTTTAGAGAACAACTTGCGCATCAAAATTTTAAGGGCGGTCGGCATGGTAGGTATACTTACAAAGGTATGTATCTCAAGCAGCACTTGTCAGCAAACGCAATGTTTTTATATGGAGTTCAAGCCTGTATACAAGTCTTTATAGACATTTAATTTTTTAACTTAAAAAAAATATTAATTCGTAATCATCCCAACATTAAAATTTGAATTATTTTCATGTTTTGATAAATAAAAGTGTTTCAAAAATGACTGTCACTGTCCTTGTAGGATAGTGCTTGTCAAATGACTGTCACTGTTCTTGTTCTCTACGTCGTAAAGTATTGTATGTGTTTGGACCTTTAGAGAACAACTCGCGTATCACCATTTTTTTGGGTTTTATGGGTACATCAAGCACTCATATTGCCAGGTTATCACATATACCTTCATATAGGAGGTACCGAACTTAATTTTATCAAAAGTATTGGTCTCCACCTGAAATAAGTTTTAGAGTTTTAATGGTCTCCACCAGTATATATTTGAGTTTAAATGGTCTCCACCAGGTTATATCGTGAGTATTTTATGGTCTCCACCAGTTAAAACATAACCTCACTCTGAGGTAAAACGAAAGCACGCGTTTAATGAAGACAACGCATAATTTAGAAACAGTTATACGAAGTAGTGCATTAAATTAGTGAAGGGGTGAGAAGTAATTCTGTCGAAAACTCGGCAACAAGCACTAGCCTGACCGTTCTTAAGAAATAAAAACTCAGACTTAAACTGGCGCATCATCATCGTTAAATTTTAAGGGCGGTCGGCATGGTAGGTATCAGTGTGACCAGGTCTCAAAAAATGTTGCGGCTAAATCCCATCCAAAATAATGCTAGAAAAAATGCTAAATTGATTTTAAAATGCCAAACAAAAATGCTAAAAAGTGTTTTTATGAACAATTCATATTAATTTGTAAATGAAATTCATTATAATTTATAACAAGTAAGAAAGTATATTCTGCCGTGGTTGACCATATGAGTATAAAATTTGATTTATTTTTTGTAATAAAGCATTTATAGTGAATTGAACATTGGTTCCGATATATTTAAACTAATTTCTGAGAAAGGCTTTATACATTTGTATATGTAGGGGGCTAGGTAAAATAAAGGACGGACTTTAACCATTTTTAAAAGGTTTTGTCATTGGATCAAAAAGCATACGTGCTTATTGTTTTGAAAATTTCAACCTCTACCAGACGGTCAGACTTACATGGCTTAATCGATTCAGAAAATGATTCTTAACCGATTAGTATACTCAAACGTAGTATAGTGGAGTAGAGTAAAAAAATTAAGTTCCGTGGTATTAAGATAAACAGAAATGCTAAAAATTATTTCAAAATTTTTGTAAATTTAGCAATATGTAATGTCTCTAACTTTAAAATATTTCTGAATGCAAAAATTACATTAAAACTCTATTAATTACACTAGTTGCTCATGGTATAAAACCCATATGTGTTTTCGGAAGGAAAAGTATAATATTTCTAGTTTTACTTTTTTTATATAAACAATTTTATTTGTCTTTCTCAATATACTTTAAAAATGGTTTTCATGTCACAAAAATATTGAAAATTCCGTTGAAATAATTTTAAATCTCGGTGAATAGATGTCAGGTTTATAATCATCCTTCCAAGATTTTTTCGGAAAAATATATATGAGAATGTATGAAATGAATTGAGAGATATATTCAAATCCGTAAGTTTGTAATTCTGGAATAAATTGTCAATAATATTTTCGAAATTTATGTATTTTTTTTAATTAAAAAAAAAAAAACGTGACAACAAAATTACTAAAATTTTGGTAAAAATAAAAAGAACAGAAAGTAGGATGAGAAAGTCTTAATTATATATTATTGATTTTTTCTAATACTTATTTTCAATAAATTAACAAGAACTCCTGAAGGATGATAAAAATTAAAACCTCTTTATTTCGTATAGGAAAAAATAAAATTTGTTAATTAACCGTCATACATAGCCTTTTCCAAAATTATATGTTTCATTCCATGAGCATGAGTTTGTAAAATAGCGTACTGAACGTATTTGTAAAAATATATGAAATCTCTTGAATTATTTCTATCACCTCGAATTTAAAAAAGCATTGGGTTCCAGAAAAATATTTTAGAATACAACATTTTAAAGTATTCACTTGTATTGGCGTAATTTTAAGTTATTTATCTTCATGAATCTTTTTGCATTACTTTGAATTACAGTGTAAATTATTACATTTCTCATATTTCTTGTTGCTTGTGTTTGGGTAGACATTTAATTCTGATTTTTTCCGGTTAAACCTATTTTCAATATAAATCTTTTTTGCAAAAATTTGTCTATTGTCTAAAAATGCTAAAAATATTTTATAAAAATGCTAAATAAAATGCCAAATGCTAAATTAAAATTTTACAGCTAAATCAAAATAAAAAATGCTAAATCTAGCTGCAAAAATGCCAAAATGGTCACACTGGTAGGTATACTTAAAATAGGCTTGCCAGATTTGAAATCAACAAAAAACGCATATCGTAGTTCTCTATATCTGTTACAAAAACGTTACAACTTTTACTCTGTTATTCAAATTTGTCATTCTTCAAACATCCTCAGATACCTAATTTACGAAAAATTAACCACCCTGGTACGAAAAATAAGAATGGCAGTATAGTTTTTTTAAAAATCGTTCCACAGAGGGACTGGATAAAGCTATCGAATAGGCATTATGGACCATTTTAACATTCAAACATGTTCTTCATAAAATTTGTCTTTTTTTATGCCGAAAATTCATTAAAAACTTTCATTACAGTGATATCTTAATCAAAATTTAACAACTTTAAAGCATTTTGAATAAACTGAAGTCTTAAAATTCAAAAAAGAAGTACAAATACTAAAAAGACGTACATTTGCGTACTTCTTTAGGGGTTATGCAGTTAAAAGTACAATTACTAAAAAGAAGTACGCTGAAAACAATACGTCTGGCAAGCCTAACTTAAAAAGCACTTGTCAGCACACGCAAGGTTGTTTTTTTATTATGTGTTCATGCCTGTATACAAGTCTGTGGGAACACAATATAAACTTTTCATTTTTTAACTTTAAAAAAATATTAATTCGTAATCATCCCAACATTGATATTTGAATTATTTTAAAGTTTTGATAAATGAAAGTGTTTAAATATCCACATATAAAAAATGGTAAACAATGATCAGCTGTGCTAATGATGTCACCTTTTATTCAGTACACCCTGATTTACTGCATATATTAAAAAGACCACTCTGGCAACATATACATTTTTAAAGGGTTTAGGGTTCTATAAATCGACTTTCGAATAATCGAACAATCTACTTTTTGTCGAAAAAAGTCGAACTCGACTATTTTGTTCCAAAAAAGTCGATAACTCGACTATCGTATGTGAAAAAAGTCGAAAAGTCTGATAGTCGATAAGTCGAAAAACGTCGATAAGTCGAAAAAAGTCGTAAAGAGTGGAAAAAAGTCGAAAAGTCGGAAAAATTTCCACTTTTTCCGAAAGGAAATATATAAAGTCGTAAAACGAAGTATAAAAATTTTATAGGTAGAAAATTTCAATTTGAATGAAAATAACAAAAAAAATTTTGGAATGTTTTTAAATATTTTTTTAATTAAATAAAAATTTTAATTAAAAGAATTTCTTTATACTTGAGGCAAAAATATGAAGAATTTTGGAATGTTTTTAAATATTTTTTTAATTAAATAAAAAAATTATTTTATTTAATATAAACTGTTGTAAAAAACCAAACATTTAGATTTTTCGACATTTTCCGATTTTTTTTCGAATTTTATTTCGAATATTCGACGTTTTCTTACGAGACTCGACTTTATTAGGACAAAAAAGTCGACTTCGACTAAATACAAAGTGACATCATTATCCAACTAATAATTGTTTACAAGTTTTTATACATAAACTTGTATGCAGGCACACACGTACAGTTGTCAAAAAATAAAAGTCGAAAAAAGGTTGAATATTCGACAAAAGTCGAAAAGTAGATATGTAGTAAAAAGTTCGAAAAGTCGACTTTCTACTTTTCAAAAAAAAGTCGAAAAGTGGAGTTTTTGTTTAAGTATAGAATGCTCGTATGCAGTGCTCGTGTAAATGCCGCATTATACTGACAGCCGCCGACTAATTTGAAAAGTGTTTTTATTTATTGGCCTGTTGAAAATTTCATTCCCAGTTGCAGTTTATATAAATTAAATTTAACACAGATACAATTAATTCGAGACTTTATTTCTTTGGCTCATTTAAAATGGTTGTAGGGTAAGTACTAACGAACAGTAGTAAATATTGTATAGAGTTTACGTAATATGTACAATACATGCATATGTATGTATGTATATTAATATGTTTGTACAAATTATTCTTTTGTTGCAGGTTTTTTGTACGATCTGGACTATTAATAGGTGCAATCTATTACACAAAAAAGGCCGGAGTCTGGGGTAATCCTAATGAGACCGAAATTCTCTACAATGATATAAAAAATGAATTACGACCACATCTCCAAAGCATCGAAAAGCAAATGCCTTTCGAAATTCCAGCACTACCACAGACTGGAGAAATGTGTTTCTTAGCCAAACACTATTACAATGAGGGCATTAAAAAATCGTTTAATTTTATTGAGATGCTCCCATGCTACGCGGGTCAAATGTTAAAAAAGGCTAAAGATAAATTTGAGGAGTTCGCAGAATCTCCGAAGTCCACGAATTAACGAATTAAATTATAATTAAATAATGTTCTTTTACAATCAATAAAGAGTATTGGTTAAAACTTTGTAGCGATGAAAATAAAAAACTTAGGACATTAAAGTGATTATCTGCAAGACATTTGAATTCTTTAAGTTATGAAGATTTTTAATCCGTTAGACATGTGCCAAATATTCGACGGATACATTCTATTGCAAAACATGACAAATACTACAACCTTAAACTGAGAAACGTTTTATACCACGGAGTGCAAATTAAACATTTTAATTTCCTTTTAACGCATACATAAGGTAATAACGGTATCGGTCTTTATATGTACAGTGATGTTCCTAAAAATAGAGCCACTTGCTCTTTTAAAGTTTCTTTTCACTCTCTAATGAAGAATTGAGTTAGAAAAACTAACTGAAATTTTGTATTGATCTATCCCAATAAACCAAAGAACGATATGATAGCGAAAACGGTATTGCTTTTAAAGGGCGATTATGATATCATATTTCATTATTTAAAACGATATTATTATAATATCGTTTTATATTATTTTGTTTCCAATAAAAAAATTAAGAAAATACAAACATTTGAAAAAAACTTCAAACATAAAAATAATTTCAATAAAAATTTTCGAACATAAGAAAACTAAAAAGGATATTAAAATAAAATCAACTAAATTATTGATAAATAATCCAAATAAATACGCGAATTTCGTTCGATACTTCAGTTTAGTGGTAAGTTGACATGTATGCAATTTTGAAAAGTTTCAGGTATTTGCAAGACAATGCATAATGTGATGAAAAATATGATTACTTTAAAATATGTATTAATGTATGTATGTAAATATGTACAAATGAATGCAATCCTTCCCTTTTCAGGCTTTTTTATATGTATAATAGCGAAATATTAAGTTAAATAGCGTTTTAAATGAAATTTTAAGAATAAAAGAGCATACAGAAAAAAAACTGAAAAAGGCGATTTAACTATCATTATTTTTGGAAATTATGGTAGCGAAAACGATATCATAATTTTATGGAAAAACGATATCATAAGGAAAGGTACCATTTAGTACGTAAATACTATCGTTCTCGATACGAGAATGACTATCACTTATGATATTTTTTATCACCTAAGTGATATCGTTTCGATATCGTTATAATATCGTTTGGTTTATTGGGATTATGAATATATACTATTATTTTTACAACAATTTACTAGTAGCTGTTTGTAATTTTAAATTAAGCTATATAAAAAGGTGTACCATAAAATAGAGCCAGTTTGGAAAAACATCAAAATTTAACAATTTGTAGACGATTTTCGAATTGAAATCGATACAAATATATAAATATAAATATAATCGCATTAAAAAACTTTTCTTAAGAAAAAAATACACCATGTTCAAGGTAAGGGCTATAGGTGAAACATGCATGACTTTAACATTAGCGTGTCGTTGGCGAGCATGGTTTAGTATTTGGAAAAATAGTTCGTCATTAAAATGACTGCTTACAACCAATGAACATTCGATGATATTCGAGCGAATTTTCATTAGTGCACTATATTTTAAAATGCATTATTGAAGGTAGGTACTATGAATTAATATTTAATTTTAAATTTATCTTTTAAAGAGATATTGATAAAAATTATGTATGATAACAAAATAAATAATTAATAACTGATTTTGAATTGCATTGAAATTCATTCAAAGTAAAAATACCCATTTTAAAATCCGTTAAGTAATCAGTCAACGTGGTTTTTTCCTCCTCTTATTAAGTAAGATTTTAAAATGGACTTAATATTTTTTTTTATTTTTTTAATTTACAAATTCAAAACCAAGCCCTTGGGCCAAATATGGCTTACATTCTACTCCATAACAATACTTCTTAAAGTTATTTAAATAGTGTAAATTGTGATAGAATACAATCCCTGCAGGAAATGGAACTAGTACCAAACTAGTATTTTACTAGTACCAAAATCATCAGTACTAGTTCCCAACTGTAAACTTTCCTATACCATAATTCTCCATTATTAGTTCAAGACTATTAGTACACTTGGACCCAATTGGGTTCTTTAGAACCAGTTTGATACTAGTTCTAATATTCATAAAAAGTCACCATAATTGGTGGTTTTGCTCTTTTGCAATCTTCCTGCACAATTCCACAACTAGTTTTTTATACGTTTTTATTTCTAAAGATACCAAAACAAAAAATACAAAAAAATGTTGTAAATACATTTACCTAACAATTCAATATGAAAGTTGAAAAAAAGTTGATATCATTGATTTTATTGTGTCCAAAAATTTGATTCAGTTACATATCTCCATTTCGTTATAAAAACATATGCCGTACGATAAAACAAATATTAAACTTATTGCAGTTTTTAAATTTAATAGACGTACATACATACACTGAAAATAATTCATGCTCAACTTTATGAAAAAAAATTTCGTAACTTCTTTTTTCGTAATTTTTACAAAAATTTCGTGTATAATACGAAATTTTATTTAATAAGACCCTTTTCTATTTTTACGAAAGTACGAGAACCTTTCGTAACATTTTTATAAAATTTAAGAAAAAGTATAATATAATTTACGAACCATTTTCATAAAAAAAATTAAAAATTCATGTGGAGAATAATTTTTAACTAAAATTAGAAAAATTATTTTAAAATGAACAAAAATGTTTGCATAAATTAATATTTCGTAAATTTTACTATATTTATTCAAAATTCACTTTTTTCAATTTAGTAAATAAATTTTTCCAAGAATATTTTGCATTATACTAAAATATTTCGTACAATTTCGTATATATTACGAACGAATTTCGTGGTGCGAAACAACGAAAGATTCGTACAATGTACGACATTTTTCGTATATATTAGGAATGGATTTTTTTTCAGTGTAGGGATTTGCTTGCAACGGGACCTAAATTTGCACGCATTATTTATTCTCGCATTTGAAGGGATATGTTTGAAAATATCGTTTTTTATGCAAAATGTTTCAAAATTATATTTTAATAATTTATAATTTTTACATATTTTTTCCAACACATGTCAAACAAAAATCAGTACAAGTGGCGCCATTCAACTACTCCTAGTACTAGTATTTTTCCATATAAACTCTTAACCCAATTTGTACTAGTGAATGTTGTTCTAGTGTTAGTACTAGTGGCATTAAGACAATTATCGTTCCATTTCCTGCAGGGATAAATTAATGTGTGATATACATAAAATAATTGTTGAAACAGAAAATTATTATTATTATTTTTTGAGTTATGAATTAAGGATTATAATTATGAATTATGTTCATTAAAATGTTTAAATAATTTTTTTTAATCTGATTAGAGTAAGAAAAATATTTAATTTCCCTAGGTAGCGCATTCCACACTCTCGAAACTCTCACTTAAAATTACATTTCATATACCGCAGATGCAATGTGGGGAAATGTTACTTGAAGATTCCTCAACGATTTACAAAATTTAAAAGTGTCGGCGATGCATATAGGACAATTTTTCTTAATAATCAAATAAAAGAGTAATAAAATTCATGTATTTACTAAATTTTCAAATGGAAACCCGATAAATTTTGACACATATTCAGATATGTGATCCCTAACTCGCAATCTGTAAACATTTAAACAAAACAAACATAACTATTTAAACAAATTCCAACCATTATATGAAAAAATTTGTTATTTATTAAGACGAATAAATAACTTTAATGAAATGTTTACTGCGTGAGTATAATAAAAATCGAGAAGTTTCTCAAACGTTCTCAAAACGGACTTTATTTATCGAAACATAAGGGTTGTTGTCGCTGTCCGAGAATTTATGGTGCTGGGGTTTTTCACAAACTGTAATGGCGCTTAGGTTGATTGAAAGGAAGTCAGAATGACACCTGTCAATATTCCTAAGCGTCATTCACAGCAATTTGAACAACCACATGCGTAGCGAGCGGAGGGAGGTCACAATTAAAGCAGAGGCTCAATGTCTATGTCGAGACAGTCGTCGTCTACTTCCGTTCCCGATGAATCGTCGCGAGCCTGAACACTATACTTGATAGTCCTGGACATAGAATTTTTTATTGATAGATGCTTATATATTCAAAGGTAAATTTATCCCTCCTATGGCAACTTCCATATACCTAACGAATCAAAAATATCTTCAGATCTCTATAAGTTTGTTTTCTTAAGATATATTAATGTTTATATTTATACAAAAAAGTGCAAATATCTTATTAAGCAATTCATAATATTTCGCAAAATGAAATTTTTCAACTAAATATTATAATATTTTAAAAATTTCCAAACATTTTTTATACTCGGTTAACCGACAAACCGGTTTTCTAAAAATTTTACATTTTCGGTTAACCGAAAAAACGGGTTTTCCAAAAGTCGGTTTTTTATTAACACTATTCACTTGGCTCCCCAGACATATCAATTTTAAAAACATTGAGATAAAAAATGGTCCATTCAGTAACCGATTCCTTTAAATAGTAATTATGGAAAAAATTAAATTCCAGAATTATAAAATTATAACAGTTTCAGTTTAAAAACATTATTAAATTGGGAGAAAGTGCGTAAATAATAGGGTAAAACATTCCACCACCTTGCAATGCGAACTAAAAAAGATTTTTCCAAGAAAGACGAAGATATTCTAGGAATTAATTATCGAGGGTTTCTTACAGATCGAGTAAACATAAAAGAGCAATACAAGGGAAGTGGTTTACAGTTTATAACCCTATAAGAGAAAACCATATTACGGAAGTTTATAAAATCATAAAAAGAGCAATGAAGGAAACGCAGAACATGTGATGATATATGTTCCCGAATTAGTATATTGCATACAAAACCTACAACAGCATTAATTAAACGTCTAATTCTATTCAAATACATAGCACTTGTACCAGTGATAACCTCAAAACCATATAGTACCTGAGACATCAACAAGGCATAAGCTAATTTATATCTAACCCTAGATGGTAAATACAAATTCGTGGAGTATAAGTTACGTAAGATATCAAAAACTCTAAAACTTAATAAGTCAATGTGGTGATGAGCAAATAAAAGTTTGCAATCCAACATGACACCAAGACATTTAAGTTGGTCAACAAAATCAATTCTAACATCACCCAA